TCAGTCAAAAATGAAATAGCCTGCATCTCTTTCACTTCTTCCTCAGCGCTCATAAGCGCAAAGCCATCAGGAGCATCTGTGAGCATCTCCTCTGACAAAGAGTACCTCACAGGGGCACTCATGTCATCGAAGATCGTCTCACCATTGTTGACCTTACAGCCAGCTTCATCTTGACATGAGGTCATCATGCCTGACAGCAAGTCCACCTCACTGTCATGGACTTCAGCTACTGTTGTCACACAATGTGCAAAGAAACCTTGGTTGCTTCCTGATGCTTGTGAAGTTCTTGAAGGTGCAGGTAAAGAACGTGGCTGTTGTTGATTTGCGTAGTTTGCATCTTGTTTGCCATCTCCTTTATCTTTTCCTTTTCCTTTCTTGCCTTTTCTCTTGCCTTTTCCTTTTCCTTTGTGGGAAAACCATGCTTCTTCAAGCTGTTGCCAAAAGTCATTGGCATCTTCATATTCTCCTTGAAGATAGTCATTCATATCGTCGGCAAGGATAGCATCATACGCTACTTGATTTGACTCCCAAGTGTCCTCATAAGGATTCTCTTCATAATACTCTTCTGGATAAGTTGTCGATTGCTCATCAGCATAATGGCCTTTACCTCATCTCTTTCCTTTTCCTTTTCCTCGAGGTCTGAAAAATCTGCGGCCTGATCTTCCTTTTCCTTTTCTTCTTCCTTTGCCTTTGCCTTTTCTGGCTCTTCTTCCTTGGAATCTCCTCTGGAACCAAGAGAAATTCTGTTCATCATATACCCAAAAGACATCGTCCAGGGCATCTAGGAATCCTTCTGTTCCATCTTCTTCATCTTCGGCCCAATAGACAAATGTACCATCGAGTTCTCCTTCGTCTAGTACGAGAAATGATCTTCTACCTCCAGCACCTGTTGGCTGCATAAGAGGATTGTCTACTGAAGTCTTTGTTGTGCAGAACATCTCAATGAAAACTGTCCTCAACTCTGTTGTGGTGTATTGCTGCAGGACTCTACCACGATGAGTCATCAAAGAGGTCAAAGTGTTCCTCTGGTCCTGAGACAAACCCGCAAGTGACAGCATGAGTAGGGCAATCAGATTTTCTCCCAAAGGAAAATCATTCTGATGAAAAGTTCTCATATTGCCATTGATGGTCTGCATGATTTCCTGAATCCTTTCTGCCGTTGGAGCTACTCCAGTCAACGCTGCATCAGCCTGCATCTGAGCTAGGACCTGAGGATGTGCTTGTGTGACTGGCTCTAACATGTCCATCCAACTGCTCATAAGCCTTTGGAGTAAAATCTGAAATCTTGTCATCCACTTCATCATGTCGGCTGATCCTCGATTGAATCGCACGAATTGCATAAACCTGTATAGGAATACATTGGTTGATCCTTTCACAAAATATGGTCGTAGTACTCTCTTGAAGTAATCTACTCCAGCTCCTGGTGGCTCATTAGCCTTCAATGCATCTCTGTCTAAAACTCGCTTGTATACAGCTGCTTCTCCTTCTAGTCGGTTTCTCAATGCTGGTCCTCTCTTCTCATCCTCCAGCTCGGTGATATCACACCAATCGTCTATGGCATCCTCATAGGAAAACCATGAAGTCTTTCCATCATAAGATGGGGGCACCTTTGTAGTGACCTGTGTTGTCATTGCTATAGCTGCTGGTTCTCTTCTCACATGCCTATTCACGTAGGCTGCTGGCTCATAAGCCACATCCGCATCAGGCTCTTCCCAGTCGTCAATCCAATCCATGGCCG